GCTCTACCACTTGAGCTACAGCGCCACTTCCGGTTTTCTGGTGGTTTATTGGAGATAGGAGTCTCACGGTTTCTCCTTCCCGGGCTGGCTTTGAACTGCGATCCTCAGATCTCAGCCTCCTGAGTAGCTAGGATTACAGGCGTGAGCCACCAGCGCCCGGCTGTCCTTCTGGATTTTTTGATGGTTAACTGGAGATGAGTCTCATAGAGCTTGGTGCTGGTGGCTCATGCCTGTAAGCCTAGCTACTCAGGAGGCTGTGATCTGAGGATCACAGTTCAAAGCCAGCCCGGGCAGTAAGGTCTATGAGGCTTATCTCCATTTAACTACCCAAAAAAAAGCCAGAAGTGGAGGAGCTCAGGTGGTAGAATGCCAGCCTTGAGCACAAAAGTTCAGGGGCAGCATCTAGCCCTGAGTTGAAGCCTTAGGACAGGCAGGCATACACACACACACACCAAGAGATGTGGGTCTGCCTCTCAAGTGTGAGGTTCTGAATTCAAATGCTCTACCACCACTTAAAAAAAGAAAAAAAAAAGGAAAGAAAAGAAAAGCTATCGATTTAGCTGGGCACTATGCTCAGACCTATAATCCTAGCTACTCAGGAGACAGAGCTGATGATTCCAACTGGAAGCCAGCCTAAGCAGACAAATCAGACTCATCTCTAATTAACCAGGAAAATATGGAAGTGGAACAGTGGCTCAAGTGGTAGAAGGCCAGCCTTAAGCAAAAAAGTGCTGGGACGGTGCCTAGGCTCTGAGTTCAAGCCTCAGGATTGGCACACACACACACACAAACACACATACACACAATAATGAACAAATAAATTCAAGGCAAAATCCCTCACAAAATAACAATAACAAAAAGGCCAAGTATATTCTAAGAAGTTTGGGGGGAAGGTAGAGGAATTAAATCATGCTGGGTGCCAGTGGCTCATGCCTGTAATCCTAGCTACTTAGGAGGCTGAGATGTGAGGATTGCAGTTTGAAGACAGCCCAGGCAGGAAAGTCCATGAGACTCAGAAGAAGCCAGAAGTGGTACTGTGGCTCAAGTGATAGAGCGCCAGCCTTGAGCAAAAGCAGATCAGGGGTAGCACCCAGGACCAGCAAAAGGAAAATAAAAATTAAATCATCACCATAAATACATTCATATTCCCCACTGCTTCTGGGGCTCGAGATCAGAGCCTGAGTGCTGTCCCTGAACTTGTTGCTCAAGGACAGTGCTCTACCACTTGGGCCATAGCTCCATTTCTGGCTCTTTTTGGTAGTTTATTGGAGATAAAGAGTCTCAAAAACTTCCCTGCCTGGATTGGCTTTGAACCTTGATCCTCAACTCTCAGCCTCCTGACCTTTTTTTTTTTTTTTTGCAGCACTGAGATTTGAACTCAGGGTCTTGAGCTTGCTAGGCAGATGTCCTATCACTTGAGCCATATCCCCATATCTGCCAGCCTCCCGAATAGCTAAGATGACAGACATGAGCGGTCCCTGGCTGTAAGACATTAAAGTCCATTCAATATCAAGACTAAAGTCCTCATTTTAACCTGAGACCAGCTGAGTGAGGTGGTTTCTGAGAACCTGAAACACTTCACAAGACCCCCATCATCTCAACAAGTCAGGCAGGAGGGTTCATTCCTGTAATCCCAGCGTAGAGCAAGCCGAGGCAAGAGGACTGCAAAGCTGTGGAGGGGAAGGGGAGAAGAGGGAGAGGGGAGGGGAGGGGAGAAAGGAGGAGAGAGGGGAGAAATGGGGGGGGGGAATGAAGGCCTCCCCGGAGGGACAGAAGTGGGCAGCCTTTGGCCTACATGCGCCAGGCCGTCCTGTCTCGCCCCTACCTTCAGTGCTGCTGTCTTCCGCTTCAGGCCACTGTGGTCACTGCTCTTGTCGGAGTCGGAGTCGCTCTCCATCCTGTCGCTGGCAGCTGCAGCGGTCACGGCCGTGACAGCCATGACCCCCCGGTCCTCGTTGTCCTCGTCCGCGTCACTGCCCCCCGCAGGGTCAGCTCCGGGGGCCTCCTCGCTGTCGGAGGAGCTCACTGGCTGAGGGGGGACACAGTCCACACATCACTGGGGGCCCTGAGTGGCTCTCCCTGGCCGACTATCACCCAGATGCCAGCCCTTCCATCTCAAGTGTACCGGCTCCATCTCCCCATGAGGAGGTCAAGTCCAGGGCGCTGTGGCTAGGGGCAGGATGGGGAGGCAGGGTTAAATCCTGCCCCCAGTGCCTCAGTGGTACTGGAAGTGCACAGAGCTCTCTCGACTGCACCTGGACTTCAGCTAGAGGGCTGGCAACATCTCTGTTTTCAAACATGATTCACTGAGTCTGGAAAGGTGTCTTAGTGGTAGAGTGCTTGTCCAGTCCTGGGTTCAATCCCTTGGTATGACATATACAGAAAAAGCCGGAAGTGGCATTGCAGCTCAGGTGGTAGAGCGCTAGCCTTGAGCAAAAGAAGCTCAGGGACAGTGCTCAGGCCCTGAGTTCAAGCCCCAGGACTGGCAACAAACAAACAAACAAAAATCATGATTGACTGGATGACGTAAAACGGTTCTGTGCCTGGAGGGCACAGGCCCGTGGCGTCCACTGCTGGATGTGCTGAACTACTGCCTTCCAAGGGAGTGGCACAAACGCAGGCAGCCCCGAGATGACTCTACAGAAGGACACGGGCCGCTCTTGGGACCCTTCTTGAATTCACTTTCAAGTTTGCAAGAGGAAAGTGTGTAAGCCCATCACCCATGCAGCCAACTACCACAGAATGCCTGCCATGGGCCTGGGCCTGGCTGAGTGTTGGGCAGACACTCCCTGCCCTCGCTGAGCTCACAGTCTATCGGGGAAACACGGTTAGGAGCCAGCACAAAGATGGTGAGTTGCAGGACTGCCTGCTCTAGAGAGCACAGCTGAAGAGGGGAGAGGCTGAAGACACAAAATAGACTCAAGGTCGCCAGGAGCAGGAGGGAATGGAGGGGGACGGCTCATGAGTTCTTTGTGGGGTGCCCAGAAGGTTCTGGAATTAAAGTAGTTATGGGCAACATGGCAAATACATGGAAAGCCGTACAGGGGGTAGTCTCAAATGGTGACTTGTTGTAAATGTCCCCTCCATTTTTTTTTAAAGACAGAAGGAACACTGTTCTCTGGATGACTCTAGTTGGGGGGTCTGGGACTGTAAGGAAGAGAACCAGGGTGGGCGAGAGCAGGAAAGTCCAGGAATCAGGGGGCTGTGGACACGGTGCAGGGGCTGGGCAGCGGGGAGGTAGCTGGATGGACCTTCCTTTGCTCATTTAGCTGGTTGCTTGACCCCCCCCTCCCTTTATTTATTTGTTTATTTATGGCAGTCCTGGGGCTTGAACTCAGCGCCTGGGCATTCTTTTGCTCAAGGCTAGCACTCTACCACTTGAACCACAGCTCTACTTCCCACTTCTTCTGTGTATGTGGTACTGAGGAATGGAAGCCCCAGGGCCTCATGCGTGCGAGGCAAGCGCTCTACCACTGAGCCCCCTTCCCAGCCCTGGCTCCCTCTTTTCTAAAGTTCTTCTTGCTTCCACTGATGGGAGTGGCTGGCACCACAGCAGCCTCCACACGGAGCAGGTTCATTCTTAACAGACAAGGGAAATGAGAAGCAGGCGCTGAAGGGAGCTGGTGGCGCAGCACTGAACGAAATCCTCTCCCTGCGTGGCCCAGGCCACGTCAGGGCCTCTCCTGTACAATTTCTGACAAGATTAAAAAGGATGATACTTAAGTAGGTCAAGGCCCAAAGAGAAAACGCCAGGAGAGATGACAGGATTTAGGATTTTTTTCTCCTCCTTCCCTCCCCAGCAGGGAGCCACAGCAGGGGTGGGGGGTGAGGTGGGGGTGGGTGGCTAGGCCAAGGGTCTTCTGTAGGAAGCACAGGCCAGTGTCCTGGTCCTAAGTGCCACCAAGCTGGTCACTGCAATGTGTAACAGCTCAGATGATCACTTGACTTCTGCAGATGAGGATACACACAAGGGGAAAGGGAGAAAGACAGAATCTAAGTAACAGCTCAGGAGCCTGGAGCCAGGCGCCGCCATACACATCAGCACTGGGGAGGCTGAAGGGCGAGTGTCACAGGCCAGCCTGGGCCACATGACAAGACCTTGCCCCAGAAAGTAGGTTATCAAATAAATACATGCATGCCTAAGTGAATGAATGAAAGAGCACAGAATCCGAGGCAGGGTAAGGACCAGCCTGGAAGCCTGGCGCCAGCCACAGCTTCTGATGAACAGTCCTTCCCTACTCCTGCCCAGCTCCTGCCCAGCGAAACCTCTGTGCCTCCACAGCCCTGTCATCCTGCCCATCACCCCACCGTGCCCCCACAGAATGGGACACAAGGGACATGATCTGCAAGGGCTACAGAGCCACGACTCGAACTTGGGTCCAGTGTCCCAAGTGCCCCTTCACCATCCTGCTAGCGGCTGGTACCACTCAAGAGAATGCAGGCCTAGGCATCCAGAGCCCTGGGCTCTGGTCTCAAGCCCAGCCCTATTGCCCACAGACTTAAGAACCTTAAACAGAAGCCAGGTGTGGTGAAGCAAACCTGCGATCCCAGCACTCAGGACACTAAGCCAGGATGATTAAGGGATCCAAAGTAGAGCCTGCAGCTGGTGGCTCGCGTCTGTAATCCCAGCTACTTAGGAGGCTAAGATCTGAGGACTGCAGTTTAAAGCCAGCTCACCCAGGAAAGTCTGTGAGACTCTTATCTCTAATTAATCACCAAAAAGCCAGAAGTGGGAGCTGGGGTTCAAGTAGAGCACCAGCCTTAGCAAAATAAGTTCTGAGATAGTGCCTAGGATCTGAGTTCAAGACCCAGAACTGACATACTAGTGTACACAGGCATGCGCACATGCACAGCTCCCACACACGCTACCTCCCAATCCCCCCACCTCCAGCTCCAAAGCAGCATAGTGAGATCCTGTCTCAAAGGGGGTGGAAATAAAAGGCAACCAAGGAAAAAGAAACCTTTCAGCTGGTTGGAGTGGCTCATGCCTGTAACCCTACTCCCGAGGCTAAGATCTGAAAACCATGGTTCAAAGCCAGCCTGGGCGGGAAAGCCCAGGAGACTCTTATCTCTAGTTAACCAGTAAAATACCAGAAATGGAGCTGTGGCTCAAGTGGTACAGCAACAGCCCTGAGTGAAAAAACTCAGGGACAGAACCCAGACACAAGAGTTCAGAAGCTCCAGCACTGGCACACACACATACCAAAAAAACAAAAACAAAAACAAAAAGAAGAAGATACCTTGGACAGGTCCCTTTGCTTCTTGTAAGTAACAAGAACTTACCAATAGGTTATTCTAGGTCACGAGTAATTGTGTCCACAGGGTGCATTTGGTAATGTGTAGGTACATTTTGGTAGTGGCGATTGTGCTGGGGTAGGCAGACACCAGGCAGGGGGTTTTGAGGCCAGGGGTGCATCCCAGCCCCCTCCAGTGCCCAGGGCCCAGCCACAGAAAAGATTGGGCCCTACCTGAGGCCCAACACAGTTACACTGCCATTAATTACACCAACCCTGGGAAGCCCGGTCTGGCTGAGGCACCTCAGAGACAAGCCTGGCCCCTCTGGGCATACAAGCAGACACTAGGCCTCTGGGCCATCTGACGGCACACCAGGACACCATCTTGAGCTCCTGTCAGGATGAGGACATAAGAATAGGCCCTCCACTGCACTTTGGGACTAGTATGAAGCCCTGAGTTCAAATCCCAGCACCTCCAGGTCAGATTCTCTCATGAACTGTTGAGCCAGACCAAGCATAGTGGTGCACAACTGTAACCCAGCACTTGGGAGGCCAAGGTAGAAGGACTCCAAGTTTCAGGTCTGCTGGGCTACATGATGGGTCTCCGGCTAGCCAGGACTGCACAGCAAGACTCTGAGTTAATAGAAAAATAGCTACATGGTAGCTACTCAGGAGGCTGAGCAGCCAAAGTGTGCAAGACCCCATCTTAGCCAGGCGCCAGTGGCTCATGCCTGTCATCCTAGCTACTCAGGAGGCTGAGATCTGAGGATCGCGGTTCAAAGCCAGCCCAGGCAGGAAAGTCTGTGAGACTCAAGTGGTAGAGCACTCGCCTTGAGCTCCTGAAGAGCTCAGGGACAACACCCAGGACCAGAGTTCAAGCTCCATGACCAAGAAAAGCGAAACCAAACAAATAACAACAACAACAACAAAAAGTAGGCACAGAGCTACATGTGATATCCTGCAAGAGACTGCAGTCTACACTGGCCTGGATAAAAGATACCAACATCTGAAAAAATAATGAAAAAAAAATCATTTCTCAAGTGGCAGATGCCTGCCTAGCAAGCTCAACGTCCCAAGTTCAAACTCCCAGACCAGTAACAACAACAAAAACGCAAATAATCGAAGCCAAAATGAGACTGGCACCAGTGGCTCATGGGCACATGGCTCATGCCTATAATCCTAGATACTTAGAAAGCTGAGCTGAGCAGGAAGATCAAGGTTCAAGGCTAGCCCAGTCAGAAAAACCCACAATAGCTCAAAAGTAACCAGCAAAAACAGGTCCAAAGACATGGTTCCAATGGTAGAGCATCAGCCAAACAACTGCAAGGTCCTGAGTTCAATGCCCAGCACCATCAAAAGTAAATAGAGTATGTGTGAGCATATATGACATATACATATATATTTATATATTTAAATAGATAGAACGCAATGCTCAGAATTAGATACTTAAAGAGAGAATGTGCGTTTGTAACAGCGGGGGATCTTGTGAGGGTAGATAGAAACTGGCCAGAGGCAAGATTGCCTTGTCACTGCAAACACCCATGTACCTCCTGAATTTTCTAAGTGTGCATAAAGAAGAAAACAACTCAGTTTCCCATAAATCCAGGCTTCCAAAGGCCCACCTATACACAGAACAATGCAAGGTCTCTGGGACCGTGCATAAGAACTGCAGGGCCCCAACGTCTTGGCCCTCTACCATTGGAGGGGTTGGCCCAAGAGGCTGCGTTTAACACCCATGTTGTATTTAGAAGTACATCCGGGTTAGATACCTGAGGCTAATTTGCAACTTTGAGGTTCAGTGGAAGCTCCTTCGGTTTCTAGAGTACTATTTTTGAGTTCCCTTTCCTTGAGAGCAGGCATCTACACCGTACTTAGCAAGCTGTGGGTGTCCAATAAATATTAAATGGGGAGATGATTCACCAGGAGGTAATAAGCTCAGGACGTAACCAAAAGGAACTTGAACGGGTGCCACAGAGAAACTCATGGAACTCACTGCCTTGAAAACTTTCTGCTCCACTCAGCCAGGATGGGTTGCAAACAGGGACCCTGTTTCCCGGCCTCATCTGGGGTAATAAAGTAAGCTATAACTCTCAAGATGGGAATGTCAAGAGATGTGTTGAGTGAACTCCACATGTTGGACAGTAATCTTGGAAGGCAGGGGCTAGGCCTGACCATTCTTCCCTCCATGTGTCTAGCACAGTCCACAGCAATACACCGCAATGGGAACACAGAACCATCCACAGGTCCTGGGGTGACACTCTTAAGTGCCAGGATCCACGAGGGGAAGGCAAGCAGGCCTTGACTATCTCCACACCATTCTCCCCACAACCAGCAGGGTACCCCCAAGTCCTCCACAGCCTTCTGTGGAGTTGAATTGTATTTTTTTAAATTCCTTCCCCCAGAGCCCCTCCAGACACCAGCTTGCCCGAGTTGTTCTCATCACTACGGCTCTGTTGTCATTCTTCCCACCAACCAGGAATCCTCTCTCTACACCCGACCTCCGACTCTCCTGGGCCCGATATTAGGCAAAAAAGGTCAGAGGAGTATGTCACTGACAAAAAATACAGTTTGCCTTTATGAGGGTGGGGCCCCTTTTCTCTGCACAAGGGCCATTTGGATATTTATCACATCATCCGTGGCCTACAGAAAATTACTAACACAGGCCAAGGACCGCAGGCCTTGAGAAGCATGCTGGAAGCATGTGCTCACCCCACGCCTGCCTTAGAACACAGAGAACACTTTTTTTTCTGCTGACCTGGGAACAGTGGTCTTTACCAGGATAGATTCTGAAACCCTATGCCCCCCTCAACCAGCCCCAGACCACACATCCTGGGACCCTTGGCGGTGGCGATGGGGAAGCCCCTGGCATGGACTGGGTAGAAGCTGGTGATGCTGTTCTGCCCTCACAGAGTGTGATCGAGCCAGGCTGAAGCAGAGAACCTGGTCCAGAAGCTTCTCTTCTCTCATGGGACAAGAAAAAGCCCACCTGTAGCTCCACTAGGAGGAAGTGTCCTTTGCAGACTCCCCCGGAGCTGGACACTTCCCACCCCAAGTTACTCACCGGTGGAGCGCTGTAACTGGCGTGTGGATTGTTCTGGATTTCCCACAGTCCTTCATTGAAACCTTTCCTCTTGTTGGGCTTGCCGTATTTGTCTTTACATTTGTCGTAGGGAAACAAGTCCTTCGGTCCCAGAAAGGCTCTGGAGAATGGAACCATGGGCCAGCTAAAGGTAAACTGGCCACGTAGAGGTACTGGGGACTGGTGGGGGGAGAGAATGAGGACAGGGGATACCAGGACCCATCTAGGGACACTTACGTTTCATGTGTACCAAAGAAGAAGATGGGGTATTTGTTGGGTGGAGGTTTCACGGCACCATCGGCAATATCATCGATCTGTAGGGGAGGCCAGTTAGGAGAGGCTTAGAGTGAAGGCCAGGAGGCCCACCTGCACACTCTGACCCAGGAAATCACCAAGACAGCCACCAAGTTACTTGGGAAGAAGCATGGTTGGGGGCGGGGGTGCTTTCAACCCAGGAGACACATCTCCTTCCAAGCAGGAATGTGCATTCTCCTGTGTACCTCCATTGCAAGCCTGTCCCCCACCCAGAGTGATTCCTCTCCCTGGGAAGAGGGAAGAAAGCTGCCCTAAGACAGGTGCTTCACCTGAGCACAGCTAAATATGGACTCCTAAAGCGACCAGAGGGAAGGGGGCCAAGCTTAGTTTCTATGAACTCCCAAGACCTGACAGGGACCCCGGCTCCTGCAGAAAGCCCAAGCAGCTGTCTCTCAGAAGATGCAGCTGTGAGCTCCAAGGATGCAGAGAGTGGGGGGTGGGCTGCAGGAGACAGGCCCTGAGAGCATCCAGGAAGTCCCACCCTCTCCCTGCAGGCTCATGGGCTCCAGCAGCTGTCAGTCACATCCTCACAGGAGGTTAGCAGCCCCTTCACTTCCAATCAGGTGCTTGGAAATATTCCGGGCTTTCTAGCTGGAGGAGGGGGGTGGGGCAAAGAGGAAAAGCTAGTGCTCTGGAAAGAAGAGAACTGGGCAAAGGAGGGAAGTGCTGATAAAGTTTCATTGCTCCCATCTCCTCCAGAAAAACCAGCGCAGACAAATCAACTTACAGTGGGTTTTCTCATCCCAAATAATGCCTCCCCCAAACATCTCTCCAACTCTGAAGGACTAGGGTTGCTGGAACCTTCTCTGTCACCCTCACTCTCCTAGGTTCCCTTAGTCAAGCAACCTAGCACCCTGTCTCTGTAGGATGCTAAACGCAGCCAAGCTGAGGACCTGTCTTTCTGGCTTCTGGAGCTTCTCCTCTCCCATGCTGAGGGCCACCACTGATCCTGGGAGGTCAGTTCCCCTACTCCGCTGTCTGAAGCCGGGGCTTCTATCCTACCATTCCAGAAACGACCCGGGCCCTAACCCTAGGGGTGACAAGGGCCTCTGGGGCCTAGTGTACCCAGGATTCCCCAATTCCTCCAAAAGTGGAACCCCAAGTTCTTGGGTCTCTGCCCTTCCTTAAAGGCTCCATCCCCCAACATCAGCTGTCCTGATTCCTTCACCTTTGGCCTCCCTCGGCCCCTTGGCCTTGACCCTCACCCCTTTTCCCCATTTCTGCAGCTCTCCTCCAGGAGCTGGCACGGCCCCAATGCCACTCACAACTTCTGCTCCGGAGTCCAGGCGGCCCATGGACCTTCTCCAGTCGGACCTGGCCCAACTTACTCAGCCTTCCCCCTTGCCCCCGACCCCATGATAGCCCCGCCCCAAACTTAACCCCACCTTGAAGCCTCTCAGGGACCCCCTGACCGGGGGGTGGGGGGTGGGGAGGGGGAGGGGAGGGGCTCGACCCCTGGCACCACCGGAGCGCTGGTTTCTCGGCGCCAGGACCCTCAAATCACCCCTCTCCCCCACCCCCCGGCCCCGCAAGACCCAACTCCACGCCCAGGGCGCGGCTTCCTCAGAAACCGGAGCCCCCGGCCCTGCGGACTCCAGCGACGGATGCCTCGGGTCGGGAACCCTTCCTACACCCCGGGGGCGCCCTCCTCAGGCCGGGGGCGCCGAGGGCCCC